ACTCTTTAGACTGATATTGTTGCTTTTCAGTACTCTGGAGAGGTTCCTGACAGCAGATTTTCCCAATGCAATTCGTCTTTTGATTCACTGACTACTGACGTTAAGAGTTAATTGTGGAGTGGAGCAAGCTAACTGCTAACCACCTCAATCTCTTCTCCATCTATAAAGGTGCTGCCAGTTTGCCCAGTGGTGAGAATCTTTGTCTTCTTGATGTTGAACTTCAATCATATTGAGGACTACAGTCCTTCCTTGACCGTCTGCAGCAATCACTTCAGGTCTTCTTCAGTTTCAGCAAGCAAGATTGTGTCATCTGAATATTGTAGGTTGTTGATGAGTCTTCCTCCAATCTTGATGCCCTATTCCTCTTCATAAGGCTGTGCTTCCCGAATCTGCTCTGCATAAAGATTGAAATGGTATGGGGGCAGGATGCATCCCTGATGTACTCCTTTTCTGATTTTGAATCATGCAGTATTTCCTTGCTCTGTTCTGAGTACTACTTCTTGGTCCAATTATAGGTTTTGCATAAACACAATCAAGTGTCCTGGGATTTCCATTCTCTTTAAGGTCAGCCATGATTTGTTGTGATCCACACAGTCAAATGCCTTTGCACAGTCAAAGAAACACAGATATTCTTTTGGTACTCTGCTTTCTGTGAAGATCTGTCAAACATTGGCAATAATGTCCCTAGTGTTACAACCTCTTCTAAACCAAGACTGTATTTCTGGTAGTTCTCTGTCAATGTCAATGCCATTTCTGGATCATCTTCGGAAAGATGTGTGCTAGTGTGGGATATAAGGGATATTGTTCAATAATTTCCACAGTCTGTTGGGTCATCTTTATTTGGGATAGGAATAAATATGGATCTCTTCCAGTCAAAAATGATAACTATTCTTGGATAGTTATCAGAGAAGGAAAAGGAGGGAGAATGGAAGAAAGGTTAATAAATGGATAAACTGGGTGAAGGCAAAGGCAATATAAAAAAAGTTGTTGATCAGACACTGTAATTAATGAATTATGTTTAATCACATTCATTGTAATAAACTATGTTGTTGTTATGTGCCGTCGAGTCGTTTGCGACTCATAGCAACCCTATGTACAACAGCCCTAAGCTGTGCTCTATCCTGTGCCAATCTCATTGCCTCTGACAC